AGCATCCTATTTATTTTGCAAAGAAAGTGGATTCCAGACATTTGTCGATATTTTTATAAGTGGTTTAAACAAATGTAATGAAATGGCATGTGGAGTTCGTGCTGACTCACTGTCAACTGAGCGTAGGAAGTATGCTTACTCCGATTGAACCGTGCCCTCTCGACTCAGTGTCGTTCGTGGGTTTTTCCGGAGTAGGATAACGTAAGTTTAGAACTCGCATCCAATCGATAGTAGGAAAAACACAACCTGATAACTCAATTAGCTCATATTTATTTTCACATACACTATTGGGAATGCGGCGCTCATCAAACCCTTCATAACAGTAGGCACCCTCAGGTGTACTCTATTGCTTTACTAAGCTTAAAGCATCTTGTTAGCTAGATAGTTCCAGCATTCCCTGTTTGTTGTGGGTATTAAGACCAAATATTTCTTATCAATGTTATTTACTTCTGAGTTCTGCTGGTATTAACCATGTTCGGTCTGTTTGTTGCGCACATGTTGTGCCTTAAATAGTCGGTTTCCTGTACTGCATCTAAACACTTTTTTATTTCTGCCCAACTATCCATTGCTTAGCTCATGTGTGGTTCCCATCAGGTCCTGGAAGAAATTGTTATGCTTGTCAGAGTATGCGGACTTTCCAGTGAGCTATTAAATCAAAACTCTTGCTTTTACCGTTAACAAGTTTACAAAATGAAAAAGACGTGTTTTTTTAAATATATACAGACTATATTGGAGACGGCAAATTATATCCGGCATAGGTTCCTGTCATAAACGAGGGTTGTGGCGTTGCCACTCCAACTGGTTGAAATTCTTCCATTTCTACAGCATTTTTTTGCTGGTTTAGCTTCGCCAAGTCATTTCCTTGGTTCCATTGGCGCCCAATAAATACACTGAATATGAGAATAACAGTGCAACCTATCACAATCAGGAGGATTGCGAAGGGGAGAAAAAGGTCCTTATTTGTATAGTCGTATACGTACGGACGTCCGAAAAATAACAAGAAGACACCTAATATTAGCACACCAAATCCAAAGGTAAATGCCGCATAATTCCTTTTCATGAGCACGAATTCCGAGTCCATGGTGTGTATTTACTTCCACTTGGTGGAGGATAATGTCGACGAAAAATATGCGCGACTTTCTCTTTTCCACGCCTGGCAGTATAATTTTATTAAATTTGCAAGTGAGCAGCCTTTTGTGCGAATAATTCCAAAAATATATTATCTTTGGATAGAAACCGTGGTAAGTGCTTCATAAAATTTTCGTTTGACTGAACAAGTCGAAAGGGTGAGCGACCGTGGTTTTTAATGGGCTATTGTCCCGTGTAACAACTCTTACGTTAGAAAATGTATGCAACTTTGATCCGGAAAATATTCGGAAGGCGCGGTATTTAGGTGGGCTATAACAGGAGTTCGATTGCCCAAGTTCAAGGTTGTTTTACTATTCCAATCTATCTGTAGGTTTGTTTTTGCATTTACAAACACACAAATTAAATTGTGACATTTCTCAAAGGGACAATAGGGTGATTAATCCTGCGAAATCATGCATATGATTATAAGTGGTTCTCAACAAGGTTAAAGGTTGATGTAGGGGTCGGAACAATGTGCAGTGGGCAAATGATCTACCCTATAGGACGGAGATAGAACGCTGCTGAGATTATGCACTGACCATATATAAGGAAATTATGCAGAATATAACCAGAAAACCGTTTCTAGACGTCAAAGACAGTGTGATCTTGATATTAGCTACGCTCGAACTAACAAACAAAGACGGAAAAGCGCCAAAACAAGGCTGTAACATCCACCGTTCTGAACAAAGAATTGAGAGCTAAGGAAGCAGCTCGAGACACGTAAGAGCTATGCGAGATTGACGTTTAAGTGAGCATGTTAACACCTATAACGGCAACAAACACAACCAGATATTGGGCTGGTACAAATTTGAGCTGCTGTATATACCAATGC